ATAGAAAAAATTAATAGCATTGAGGAGTAATGCTTTCACTCTATATATATCACTCCGTATAAAATTGACCTCCCTATAAATATAAATTGCAAATATTCAATGTGATATATTTCTAAAGGAAAAAGTTTATATAAGGTTGCAACCTTAAAATGTAGAATTATACATGCACATCAAAAGTCCATAGGAGAATATTGTTTTAGTGTTGAAAAACCCTCTAATTGATCATCTCGACATCCACATGTGCGAATATGAAAAAAAAAAGATTTTGATTCCCATAAATAGTGCATCTTGGGACACGTTATCTAGAACGTCCATTTTCAATATTTTCATATATTTATATATCTACTTGATTTTGACCATTATTTGAAGTTTAAAATTTATAAATAGATATTAAAATAGATTTGGAGATAATCCTAAGAATTTTTTACACAAAAATTATATGTTACTATAAAAGTTGGAGGTGCGCCTTAATTGGATTGTTTAAGATTGAAACCTTATAGAAACCGCACTCATGTCTAAATTATAAGATGGTCATCTATTCAATTCGCCAAGATAAGTATTGGGTAGGTGAATTCAATTTTCATCGTCCTTGAAAGAAATAGTCTACCCCATACTTGCTAACTATTGTATACTCATAACCACCCGAAAAAATACTCACCATATCAATAGCTGAGAACAAGAGAAAGTTTCGGGAGAATAGAAATAAAAAATTCATAAATCAAGAAAAAGATATTGAACTTCCAAAAAAAAATAAGAGTATATTAATAGCAAACATTTTTTTAAAAGATTTTTTTCCAAATTTTGAAAAAGTCGCATTTTAAACTTCTTCTGAAAAATAGCGTATTTTTGCTGTTCTATTGAAAAAGTCATAGATTAAAAATGCCGATTTTTTGAAAAGTTGTAATTAAATGGGAGATTTGCTAAGTATGATCATGACTAAGATAGGTCATGTTGGGTAAAATTAAAAAAAACAAAAAATAAATAGACAAAAAAATAAGAGTTTTATCCGGCTATCCTGGAGGGTGATGACTTTTAACTTTCTCTTAACCAGTCTCACGTTTGGGTAATACGATACCTTTTTTAAAAATGATTTAATCTTCAACTTTTTCAATAGATCGATAATAATACGCGATCTTTTCAGGAAGAAGTTTAAAACACAATTTTTTAAAAATTTGAAAAAATCGTTTCAAAAAAACTTTCTTATTAATATACTATGATATATATATTTTTTGGAAAGTTCAATATCTTTTTCTACTTTTATAAACTTTATATTTCTATTCTCCTAAAACTTTCTGGTTCTCTACGGGTGGTTATGGGTAGACCATAGTTAGCAAGTATGGGGTTTGGCAATTTATTTATAGAAAGATGAAAATTGAATTCACCTACCCAATACTTATCTGGACGAATAGAATAGAAAAATATCACATTGAATATTTAAAATTTATATTTATAGGGAGGTCGTATTTATAGTGAGGGAAATATAGAGGGAAAGTATTACTCCTCACTATTATTAATTTTTTGTTACACATCTCTCTCGTGAATCTTTCTTTCCATCCCCATAAAAACAGGCCATACACGCTTCAGCTCTCACAAACTTTGGTTCATTTCATCTCATTCTTTCCCTGTAACAGCAATGGCTATTATGAACTAACGAAGCAGAAACCAAAGGATACTATATTCTTCTCTCTACCAAGTTACGATGCCGGTTATGAACCTGGTGACCAATGTCCCGGTCGACTCTGTTGTCATTTCAGACATCCTCAAAGATGCCACTAAAGCTGTCGCCAGGATAATAGGCAAGCCTGAATCAGTGAGCCCAATCTCTCTCCCGCTCTCTCTATGTTAATTCAGAGTTCATGTGCTAGAAGGTGGCTTCTTTTTTTCCTTTCGACTTATGGGTTCATGGATTTTTTAGTATGGGTAGAGCCCAATCTTTCTCTCTCTTTCTTGAAATTGTCTCTCTCATAAAATTCAGGGTTTCATGTGACTCTGTGATAAAAAATGGCTTCTTTAGTTTATTATGGGTTCATATGTGTTGACTTTTTACCAGGAAACCTCAAAAGAAGAAAGAAAAAGATATGAACCATTGCGGTCTCTTTTCAGAACTGCAGTGATAAGTGATAACAGTGGCTCTTTTTTCTATTTTTTCTTTTTCTTTCTTATCCTTTTGTTTTCTTTTTTAAAGAATTTAAAGTCATGGTATATTTGGTAACACCTGTAATTTGGGCTTCTCAAAAAAGGGTAAAAAAAAGAGCAGCAAGTTAGGGATTCTCTATTCTCTTAGCACTTTTCTTATCTGGCATTATATGTAATGTTTTCTGAAATTTTGTGGGTAATTGTAATTATCTCAGTATGTTATGATTCTATTGAATGGGGGGGTGCCAATTTCATTGGGTGGAATTGAGGAGCCTGCAGCCTATGGTGAATTAACCTCTATTGGGGGACTGGGTCCAAGTGTTAATGGGAAGCTGAGTGCTGCCATTGCTGATATACTTGAAACGAAGCTCTCCATTTCTCGCTCCAGGTTTTACATCAAGTTTTTCGATGTCGAGGTACCAAATCACATTCGATTTTCTTGTTGTTTTTTTTAGTTTTCAAATGTTCCTCTCTTTCTCTCTTTCTCTCTCTCTCTC